TGCTCAGTTTAAATATGTAGTAAAATCTGTGCCGTTAAGCGTTATCCCCGTACCGCGGTGAATAATGTTATGCAAACCATTTTGTTTTACGTTGATATTGGAACGTGAGTGAAGTAGGCTACATAATAAATAATATTTTGGCATTCAAATACATTGCGAATACGGAAACATTTGATTTTGTGTCGAATGAGAGACGCAACATTGGTTTCAGTTTCGTTTTAACCTAAATGAATTCGTTTTGGCTTGTCATTTATATTGCTATTGCTTCTTATATTTTTAATTCTTGTTCTTTTCTAAATACTGTTAATTGAAAGGATTTGTTGTGAAGTGAGGCTAGCTATGTTTACAGTGAAAATAGCCTAGCTATGTTTACAGTGTTTATTATAATGTTTGTAAACATTTCGTGTCGGCATTAGGCCTATTTCTGAATGAAATAATAAAATGCGACATGTTTTTTTTTCCTCTAAAAAAAATCAATTTTTTTTATACGCATAGCGTATTTCAACCATGCAGCAAACCTTTTTAAATATTTTGATAAATTACTGAAAAAAAAAAGACTTTTTAAACCGTTTAACTGATTGTATTAATCTGTCAAAATTCTTCACGGTCGGTTAAGGGTTAACCGGTTAAAATTAACATCCCTAATTGCAACACATATTCTTGTTAACACTTGTGAACATTACACACAGTGCACGTCTGATTAGAGCTAAGCCGGTCGGTGTGGTAGCCCAGGCTCACATAGTCAAAGGCCACTAGTGTTAAACCGGTGTGCGTGGTAGCCAAGGCTCACATAGTCATAGGCCACTAGTGTAAAGCCAGTGGGCGTGATAGCCAAGGCCAGAGGTCTCGTTAACCAAAAATGTTCCATCATTGACAGAATTTTTTTTAGCAGTGACAGAAAAATCTGAAGGCCGTCCGTCACTTTGACTGATTACACTGAGGGTGATCTATTGTAATTTATAACTGTAATTCCCAACCCTGTCCAGTGGCGAGTGCGCTCCAGTGTGGCAGCCGAGCGCGGGATCATCAGGTCCAGACACTTTTGCTATGTCTTTGATTACGCACAAGCGAGTAACCACTAGCAAAGCGAAAGAGATGATCAGTTTATGCTGCTGCTTCGCTTGATACGAGGTGACTACAGCGATCTAGCACGCCACATTAAAGAGTGCCAAAACTGTATTAATTGCTTGAATTTCCTAATAAAATGGACAAAATTTGAAATCTGAGACGGTTTCATATCAAAAGTAACAACGCACAAAGCTTAGCCTATTGTGATTTAATGGATGGGAGGCACACTATGAATCGATATTGGTTCATAAAAATGAGAATTTATTAAAATTGAGAAATCTTTTTTTTTTTTTACCCATTTTGTTGTTTTTAGTGGCCTCCACTGTCACTGTGGGTGTGGTGTTGAACATGAAAAGTGACGCAGTCTCTGTTCATCTGTTCTCTTCATAAATAAATAAATGCATACGCCTATATGCTCGTCCTGTAGGTTCATTATTAAAAATGAAGATGTGAACAAAAATAAGAGCAATTAAATGTGTTATTAAAATATGAACATTAATCTTCATGTCTGTGGACACATGTATGTGCACTTATATCCTTATACTCAGCAACATGCACATATTGGCTTGTATTGTCCCCTTCTACAGGGGTTGGACAATGAAACTGAAACACTGGCCAATGTAGTGTTGGAGGTTTCATAGCTATATTTGCGCAGCCTGGTGGCCAGTCTTCACTGATTGCACATTCCACCAGTAAGAGCAGAGTGTCAAGGTTGAATTAGCTGAGCAATAGCACAGCTGTACATAAAATATTGCAATGCACACAACATAATGGGAGACATATCAGAGTTCAAAAGAGGACAAATTGTTGGTGCGCGTCTCGCTGGCGCATCTGTGACCAGGACAGCAAGTCTTTGTGGTGTATCGAGAGCCACGGTATCCAGGGTGATGTCAGCATACCACCATGAAGGATGAACCACATCCAACAGGAGTAACTGTCGACGCAAGAGGAAGCTGTCTGAAAGGGATGTCCGGGTGCTAACCCGGATTGTATCCAAAAAACATAAAACCACAGCTGCCCAACTCACTGCAGAATTAAATGTGCACCTCAACTCTCCTGTTTCCACCAAAACTGTTCATCGGGCGCTCCACAGGGTCAATATACATGGCCGGGCTGCTATAGCCAAATCTTTGGTTTCAATGGTGCCAGCAGCGGAAATCTTGGGCTTTGGACAATGTGAAACATTGGTGTGGCATATCAAGATGGTCTGCGGTTGTGAGGCCGGTTGGATGTACTGCCAAATTCTCTGAAACGCCTTTGGAGACGGCTTACGGTAGAGAAATGAACATTCAATTCACGGGCAACAGCTCTGGTGGACATTCCTGCAGTCCGCGCCGGTGAAGATGGGACTTTTATTCAAACAAAATAGCTGGTGATGGTTCTGTGGCGGCCGACTAATACACTTCTAAATGTAAGTATCGTGTAATTTACTCAAATAGCTAGCAAAACAAACATTAAGTCAGGGGTCTTAAAAATGTGACGTTAAACTAACAATACCACTGCACAGATTAATTTGTTAGGTGGTCTGAGGCATAAGTTCTTAGATGTTGGGTTTTAATATTACACAAATTAATTATTTTGTTCAGACGTCTGTATTATTTTTCCTAATTTAATGTGTGTCATGTCGTAATAACAAATGTCCCAACTTGTAAGTTCTGCAGAGCTGGACATTTTAGTAAAGATCAAATAAACGAGTTCAATGAATGAAAACCAACCTGTTTGTTCCTCAGTATCTTCATGTTTGACTCTGAATGCTTCTTCAATCTTCACGTCTTCACTCTCCTCTTTAATAAACACCATCTTTGTTTGTTCCTCAGTATCTTCATGTTTGAATGTTTCTTCAATCTTCATGTCTTCACTCTCCACTTTAATAAATGCCATCTTTATAATAGTGTGTCACGTGGATCTGTAAGAGATGAATCACAGATTCCTTAAGTTCTTAAGTTAAGATCTCAGTCGCTTCAGCAGGAGTTTTTCTGTGAGTTTGGACAATTTGTTCTGTTTAAGATGAGAATAATTAACAGAAAGAAAAATAAGTGCAAACTAAATCTGAGTGCGTCTCAATCAGCTCCCTAGTTCAGTAGTCAGCACAGTGTTAAGGGAGTCAGTCAGAGTGATAGATAATGGACTTAAATGGGCATTAAAAACACTCAAACTAGTGCTACAAATTAATTACAAATTAAAGAGACGCTTCATTTTTAGGAATTTATTGTTTACAGTTAGTATTGATTTGTAGATTACATTTAATATATTTCACTTTCATGAAATAATTTGCAGTTGGTTTGTAAAATTTGTCATGACACATGTTTGAGTCTGTTGTTCTTGCTGTATTAACTCTGTTTTGAGCAGCAGTGTCTCCTCAGCGCGCGCTGATTCGAATCACTGAATCATTTTGCGAATCATTTGGTTCAATTGAGAAAAGTTTGGAAAAGCTCAGTTTCTCCATCAGCTGCCTCCCAATTCGTAGGCTACATCCTTCGAAGGCCTCATTTGTAGGCCGATTGCGTCACCGCGGCGCAACGAAGGCTGTCGTAATTCGAACGCGACTTCAAATGACACTTTTTCCAAAAGGTACATCTGGAAAAAGGGGGGTCGTCTTATAATCAGGGTCGTCTTATATTCGGGCCAATACAGTAAATCCTTTACTGGGGACAAAAACTCTGCCAGTGTGGCTCGGAGGTACATTTGTAATATTTCCACTAGGACCTCTTGTGTACACAACAATTAGCCCTCACCCTATATAAAGCCCACAACAATAAGACAAGAAGTAGATAAGGCTACTTAATAAAACTTTCACTTGTATTTTTATTTTATTTATTTATTCTTTGTAATGCTGTCATGCAAGATATGTCCACAAAGGTTTTAGGCAAACTTGATGATCCAGAAATATGATTTCTGGAGTATTTTGTATGCATGTCATATTTTCTAACCTTAAGATTGCAGCCCTGTCTTAATATTTTTCATAAGTCTTTCCTTTTTCTCTTCTTTTAGGTCAGTTCTGGAGAAAATGGGGCTGCTGGGAAACTTAAAAATGAAATGAATGAAGTTGTTCCGTACATTTATTTTGTCATTTAAATAATTTGTGAGTGAAGCAAAGTAATTTCTATGCATTATTTTAGTTTTTGTATTATAAGTTGAAACTTGTAAATAAAAGACAAGTAGTAGTTCCGGAAATTGTTTCTTTTTGCAAAGCAAGTTTGTAAATGACAATAATTTGTAAATTACAGAAATTCTATACTTTTTTTTGCATCTAAATTGAGATTTGTAAATGAAAATAAATTGTTCTATACTGAAAGTACTTTTTTACAACTTTAATTACAAAATAACTTTAATTCATCTCCAGTGTTTGAGTGCATATTTCCACTGTCCAGCACTGGGACGTTCAGGTTTGTCCTGCAGTACAGGGGTCTGGTCTGATTTAGGGAAAGAAGGAAAGGACTAATTGTGTAGAGCTATGAAGTAATTGGTGGAACAAATACTGAGTTACTTTAGTAAAGTGCTTTCAGTAACTACTAATAGTGCATTGAGGAAAAACTGCATGCATTTAAAACCTTAAGTAAAAGTATTATCTTGCATACTGTAATGTACTTAAGGTATGAAGAGTAAAAATAAAGGTATGATATGATGGTCTGGCATTAATATTACTGCTGCACTACTGTGTATGTTGCATTTTATTTTTTATATCATTACCATATCCTAAGTCGAAACCCAATACTTACATTTAAAGTGTAATTCGGTCATTAAAAGTAAAAAACAAACAAACTAACAATTCAGGCTCCATTTTCAATTTCTTTAAAGGGGTCATATGATGCGATTTCAAGTTTTCCTTTCTCTTTGGAGTGTTACAAGCTGATTGTGCATAGATAAGATCCAAGCATCATATGACCCCTTTAAATAAAATCTCAGAATGGCAGCTCTCTTCTCGCACCCTTGCTACGCCGGACACCTGGTGACGCAATCAGGAAATCCTGCGAAGGCCAGACTCTTTTTTTTTTTTTATTATTATTATTATTTTATTTTTTTTATTCAATGCTTTGGACACTAACACAGAAAGGCATTCATAACTGGGAGATTTATAAATAATGACTGAGATTACACTCAATTTTCGTTCGCACTCTGTACATCATATAACAAAATAAATGTAAAAATAAAATAAAAACACTGAGGAAGAAAAAAAATTAAATAAAGACAAAGTAGAAGTAGGGGAGTAGGAGGTTTTCACAGTATGACACCAAAGTCCTCTAATAAAGTATACAAAAATCTTGCTTTGGGACTTCTCATCCCTCTTAACGTCTCCAAATACAATACAAATTCCTCTTTAAACACCACTAATTGTGGGGGAGTTTTGAAAAATGTACTTTTATGAATGTAAAATTTCAGCAAAAGCAGCAAATTATTTATTACATAGGATATCTTTTTATCCTTAAATAAACCAAACTTAATTTCCCATGAAAGGATCAGTTTTACAGGTAATCTTTGGTGTATACAACAGAATGCAACATTACAGAATGTTTAGTACCTAATTACACCGTAGGCTAGACTCTGAGCGTCCTTCGTAGGGCGCTTCGTAGGACGCTGCGAATTGGGACACAGCTATCATCTCTTTATTATAAACTGATTCACGCTATATGCAGCGAAATGAGACGCACCTTTTCTGTGCCTCATAAGTGGATGCAAAACAACTAATTCATTTCACAGTTATTGTGAAAACAGCAAGATAGACTGAACCCTTTAAACACTTAAAAACACGAACCTTTCTTCATCCGAATCCCAACAGATGCAGGAGCGCAGCCGTATGACGGCATACCACGAAACCAAAATAAAAGTCCCGTTTACACTCTGCTCCCTAAAATCACTAACGTGCAGAAAAGTACACACGAATAATACAATAGACGAGAACAGAGTTTATTTCTTGGCAAAACTGATATTTAAGTGTTGCCCAATATCAGGAACTAAGACAAAACTGCAATGTTTGGATGCAGAATTTATAATCTGGTTGGTCAGAGTCCACTTCAGTCTTTGCCAGTGTCTCATAAACATAAAGCTTTTAGAAAATTACAACCTTACTGGTAATGTTGTTATGCTGGTTGTTTTCTTCATGTAGTCGAATAGACATATCAGTTAAATCCACAAAGGTGCATAAAGTGAGCTTATTCACCACTAGTTAAGTCCACCTTTTGTATGCCCTTCTGTGTGTATCACAATTATAGTACTTGTTTACTACTGGCAACTAGTCTTTGGAGCGAAACCATTTAAATGTAAAAATTGAAAATAAAAACATAACTAAGTGTTTTAAACTATATTTTAAATAGCCTCATCATAAGCTGTTTATATACTGACACTATTGGTGTAGTGAAGAGTGACTCCAAGTAGTCTATATACTGTACAACTTGATTACTTAATCATATGAATTCAATTCAAACTTATACTAATAGTTTTGCACAATGTTTTCACGCATTTTGTTGCATGCAATGCTTTATTACAGCATGCATTTGTGATTGCACTTAACTCAAAGCATAACAACACAACACACAGTGGGTAACAACACAGTCGTTGTTGTGTTTTCTCCTCTCTTTTCTTCCTCTTCCATTCTGCAGCCCACTTTATCTTTAATTTTCGAAACTGCAGTGAGAAATAGAGTTTTGTGTGACCCTTTTCTGTTCCTGTTCAGATGAGCAGGAGAAATAGTGCAGCATGGAGTGATATTTTTTTTTACACCTATGTGTGTTAATGTTGCTAGTGTGTATTATTTTTAATGAAATGATGACCGAGTCTCGTTCTGCTTGACTGTAAACAACACTTCTTTTATTACACTTCTGCCCTCACATATCAACGTGACTTACTTTTGCCACCTACTAGAGGCTATATACAGGAACTGCATAACATATATAATACTCGTGATGAATCTATATTCAAACAGCTTGAATATTACATCCCCTTTCTTTGAAAACTTTGACATTTTGTGGCAGAGAACACAACATTGCAACTCAGCAATTCTTTTAGTTAACATACCAATGCAACAATCAGTATACAAATCTAAACAAGCCATAACTATATCAATGGTTGCAACAACTGGCATGACAACTTTGTTTTTGTTTTTTTTCTTAGGGCAGCGATCCGCCTACACCCTTTACAATTATAGATCAAGGTCGACTCTGGGTTTCACTTCACGTCCTGATCTGGTAACATAACGTGGAGTAGCAGTATTATTCGTGTCTGTCTTCTTAGGGTGATCCAATGGGACTGTGTGTAGAGTGCTCGAAGACATTCTGGACTCGGCATTGACAGGCTGTGCTTTATCTTGCAGAAGGTGATGACGATTTTTCAGAAAACTTGGCCTTCTGCAGTGCACACGTGGTAGGACCTGAAGGTGTCAGCAGGGTTTATGACTACAGCAGGCTTCCAGCTCCCTGAATCCTGAATTCGGACATGGTCTCCGGTCTGTAGTGGTGTGAGCAGTTTTGCTGACCTGTTGAAACACTTTTCTTGGTACTGTTGCCTTTGTTCACGTCTAGCATGAACATCTTTTCCACAGACAGTTTTGGGCTGTAGCTGTCGGTTGGTGGTGGGGATAATGGAGCTCAATCTTCTACTCATCAGCAGTTGGGCTGGTGATCTGAAACCATCCACTGGGGTATTCCAGTACTCCAGCAGGCTGATGTAGGGGTCTTTCTTGTCTGCTTTCACTTTGTCCATTAGTGATTTTGCAATCTGCAATTTTGCCTTCTCACTCAGCCTATTACTGTGGGTAATGTGGGCTACTTGTGATATGCAAAACTCTCAAAATCTTTTGAGCTGAA